ACTACATATAAATTATAGTCTGCGGGCAAGTGTAAGAACTGTTCCAAGTATGACAAGCTCTACTTCCGTGCTTTCTGACCACCACGTGCCTAACAGATAGCCTGTACATAGCTTGGATTGACTCAGCTGCTACGTGCTTTGAGGATGCTTGTACTCAAAAAAGTTGTCTCTGTCTGTGTTTTCAGTCTTGTTGTCTATACAAGTAACACAGCCTGGAAAGCATACTTAGGGTATCTCATTAAGATCCACTGTTAAAATACTCTAGAGTGCTTTCCCATTGCTGTTTATGAAAAAGGACTAAATCCATGCTATTTAAAAATGACTTTGAGGAAAAACAATGAAGAACCTACAAGTAGAGACTTGCCAGTCCATCACTGCCTATCTATTTTATGTGAGAGAGGTCTGGTCAATGGCTTCCTGCGTGCACGCTTGGGATTTCTCCTTTTCCTTTAAAATATGTTGTCTACTTCAAATGCTGATGTTAATTTGCAGCATATGGGGACCATTAGCAATACTGAAGCTAGATATAAGGCTTAACTTGTTAAATCACTTTAGAATGTCGCATCTGTTTTTTTACCCTAGTGTTAACACCTGGATCAGTTTAGCACCAGTGCAGAAGTTTAGGATGTATATAGCTGTTAATTTTAAAAACATCTGGGATTTTTTTGTGTGTGTATGCATGTAAATGTGCCTGTGTGAATGGCTGGATCTCTGGCATTTTTAAGTTTGATGAAAAAAAAGCTCAGTGATTGTGCTCAAGGTATGTATTGACCCGGGCAAATAAGTGGTTTGTGGCAGGAGGCAGAAGGATTCTTTTGAGTGGGTTAGAAATTATGATTTTGCCTTTACAGTTTTTTGTCTTTCTTCACCCTTCCATTTCTGAAGAACTGATAGCTGACTCCAATTCCTTCCCCTCCCACCCTCCAGCGCATCCATTTGTTCTATACTCGGTAAGATATCCCTCTCTCCTGGGATGTGTGAAATGGGCAGGCATTGCAAATTGAAGAAAGTAAGCTCCCTGACTGAGTCTGCAGCCCTTATCAGAGACTGCTTGAAAGTAAAAATGCCAATTGTGTTGGAATTTTGAGAAATTACTTTCTTGGGTGACCTGCTGCCTTTTAGCGAGAGCAGAGTTTGCAGTTCTGCTGAAGTGATGAGTGCAGTTGGAGAGCTGCCCTTATTATACCCATTAGCAAGATTGGACTAATCTGCAGGACGTAACCTCAAGGTAAACTGTGAGTGAAGCAGCAGGCAAGGCTAATAAGGCATTTTGTAGTTTCCTTTATTTCAGAGTCTTTCACAGAACCAGCAATTAATAATTTTTCTATCTGCAGAGAGTGAGTGTGGCTGCTAGCATGGGATGCGTTCCTGGGGTCACTCTTGGCACTACCTGCCAGGCTGGGAGGAGTGGTTCCTTTCAGAATTACTGCTGAAATTGGTAACTAAGCAGAGTTAACAGCTTAGTTATTTGGTAACTAAAGAAAAAACAGAGCCTTGCCCCAGCTAGGAGCTGGGGCAGCCCTAGCTCCAGGCATTGGGCACCTCTCAGGGAACAAGGCCAGGCTGGGATATGGACCCAGCTCAGCAAGACCATTGGTAGGGTAAGGCTTGGGGAGTTTAAGACTGGCCCTGCTGAGGTGTCACTGGGGCGAAGGCTGATGGCCCTGGGAGACTGACATGGGGTCCTGGGCCCTGGGCAGCGTGGGGGGAGCTGACATGAGGTCCTGGGACTGTGGGCAAGGTATGGGAGCCTTGGAAGGGTGATCAGGTTGTCAAGGCTCATTAGTGCCCTTGGGGCCCTGATGTAAGCAATTGAGTAGTATTTATTTTTATTCTTTTATTTTATTAGATACAAAGCTTGTATTTCTTTCCCCTTCCTAGAGATAAACATTTCACTTAATGTTTTTTTTGCCAGTGCAGTTGGACAGCCAGGCTGGAGATGCAGATCGGCACAGCTTGGCTGGTGGTGCATAGGCTGGACTCAGCCCGCAGACTCTTTCTGTCTGACCTCAGTCTTAGTGTTACTGAGACTTCATTCACTTTTATTGAGAGTAAAATGACACAGAGCTGCCTGGCTCTGGTATCTCAAGTGCTTGTATTCCAGCATCCTCCTGCACCATCAAGTCTAATGTTGGCCAAGTATATTTTTCCTTACATTTTATGATGTGAAATAGGGTAGTTGAACTTTAACAATCAATCTGTGTGAGACTTGCTTCTTCATCGTAGGACCTCCAGCTTCCCTCTTGTATTAGACTTTTCTAATATATCAAAGCATTAGCAAGACTTTTTTTTCTTATAAATATTTAATAAAAAAATAACCATATGAAAAGAAATTTAACTTTATTTAAAATTCTGATTTCTAGAAAATACAGCATTTGACCTGACTAAACCACTGAGTAAACTGGAACTGGCAGCTTCTATATGTTTCATGCTGACTGGCAGATTCTAGAATATGTTGCATTTACATGCGCAAGAAACTAGGAGTATTTCAGAATTGCCTGCTGAAATCCATACCCAAATATAGGGTGATCAATACTGTATCTTCAGGGCTTCATTTTGATTTTTTTATTGTGTGGGGTTTTTTTCCTTGTTTGTTTCTTTGTTTTAATTTTTAATATGGACAGGTCTAAACATGAAAGGAACAAGTTTGCCTCAAATTTGTTGCTAAGGCTGTGAATAAAATTTGACTGAATTAATGCCTTGGAATGTACAATAGATTTCTTTATGATATGGAGATAAGCAGTTTACTTTTGGTGGGGAATAGTCCAATATGTGTATGTGCTGCATGAAAACTGTCAGCTTAGAGAGAGGGCTAGTTCTTTCAGCAGCATAGCAGAGTTGTGTGGAGTTGTTTTATACATGTGTACTGATAACCACAGTTCTGTTTGTTTTTTTGTTTTTTTTTTTCTACGTGGTTACATAGCTTCAAGTGTTGGAAATGGCCATATTTGCAAAAGATATAATAAAAGCTACTATTTCCTGGAAATAACCTGTGCACTGTCTAGGCTCTTTGGAGCAGAATGCGCTGCCTCGGGGGAGGGTGGTTGTTCTGGCAATATTGTTGCCACTTATTTTCTTATTATTTTCCCAAGAAAAAACACTACCACTGTTCAAGGTTTCAACTCTAAATCCTGACATCTGAAAGCTGTCCTTAGCCTTTGGGAACCTGTAGTCTAAATATAATATATTTTTCTCAGAGAATGGACTCTTTCTTGCCTAACACCTGCTTTACTCTTGCTGAATTCCTAGTTTTCTGATAGTGGTTCTGAGTGTGATACTACAAACTGAAATCGCAAACAGAGGAATTAGGTTTCAGGAAAGGACTACACAGAAGGACAAGATAAATAACGTGAAAACAAAGATCTTGTTTTCTTCCAGTGTTCTTTTGTGACTGAGAAAATAATGAGAAAAATGTGTGTGGGGTTGGGAAAACAATTACAGGCAACCTGATCCACTCCATAAGCAGAAGTCAAAATGAAAATTTTCAAATATTCTAGAAAGCATCATCAGATCTTTAAAGGGTTTAAGGTGACCTCTCCATAACCTCTATATGTTCAGAGACAAAACGACATGCTGAGAGGAAGCGTGTCTGAAAGCATTACAACAGTATGCTCTGGACAATGGATGTGCTGAGCTGCGTGGTATTTGGAGTATTTGCATGGAGATTCTGTGCCATAGTATATGAGTGCTTGAGCATTTTTCTTTTCCAGAACAAGAACAACATTTCTGAAACTAATACCATAAAAAAAAAGGGATTTGGATAAAGGTTCCAAGGAAATGCAGAATGTGAGGGGAGTCTTAGAATATGAATTAGTCATGCACATGCATTTTAAATGTGGGCTTGCATTTCACACTTTTTTCCCCCCTCCCTCATCTGAATTGAAAAATTATTAATTATAAGAGGATATTTGTTGGAAAGGCAGATAGAGCGTATGAGTAAAGAATTAGATATAAATCATCTCTCTTGTTTAGTATATTGAATAGAAGAATCTTGAGCTAATAAAATAAATGCTAAATGAGTTAAGCTCAGTAATAACAACAATGCATCTTTAATTGCTTAAATACAAGTAACTAATTAAATTCTGCTCATCTTTTTGCACTAAGCAGGTCTCACACTTTCTCCCACTGCATAAATTTTAAATGCAAATCTTTGGATTTGTACAAACACTGTAGTAGACAGATTTTTACAGTAACGAATTAGACATGGGGACTGCTGATGGCTGGCACCAGTCCTTGCCAGGGTGGTTGAAAGCGCAAATGCTGAAAGCTTCAGCAATTTTTTTTTCCTAATCAAGCTGACAGACTTGAATTCATAAGTTAATACAACATAAAAACATGGATTTTTTTCTCCTCTATTGTAAATACAAAAAATTTAAATAGAAGGCATATTTTCATCTTTAAAATATTCTGTTGTCTGTCTTTGGCAAGGTGTTAGCAGAAAATGTTGTCAGTCAAAATATATACAAGACAGTTTTGGGTGTGCCCTGTGCAGAAGCAGAAAATTGCATGCTCCTACCGACTTCCGTATTTATTGTTCATCTGTGTCAGAGAGATTCATTCCAAAATCTAAATTAAAATTTCAGTATAAAAGGCCAGTTGGGATTTTAATTCTGAATTACTGGAGGATCCATTGTTTCAACAATAATGTTTGCGAGTTTTTCATATTTCTTTTACATTTTAATTATAACTCATCAAATCTTAACCGATTACTCCTGGGTTAGACTCAGAAGAATGTCACTGAAGGGTGTTTTAATTTAATGGAAACAGTGTAACATCTGTTTCTAATGTTTTAAAAGCCAATTTATATGGAAATTTTGCTCTAGCAGGAAGTCAATAGATATGTAGTTTTTAAAACCTCCTGTAAAAATTCAAACTTGAATTAAAGCAGCACCAAAGCAATGCCATTCTTTCTTGTGCTAGCAGTGTGATTGCATTTTCTCAGCCTTTCTTTTGTATCCTTTTTCTTCTATTAAAATGAAGCTTTTATTTGTCTTTTGTAGTCGAGCTATCAAGACAAACCAGGACCTTCTGCCTGAGACGCCATGGATTCATATCTTCTACAATGACTTTTGGGGGACACTGCTTACTCATAGTGGGAGCCACAAGTCCTACAGACCTCTCTGCACACTTTCCTTCCGCATTAACCATGCTGTTGGGGGAATGGACCCATGGGGCTACCACCTTGTAAACGTCCTATTACATGCTGCAGTCACAGGCCTTTTCACAAACTTCTCCAGGATTCTGTTTGGAGATGGGTACTGGACCTTGATAGCAGGCCTGCTGTTTGCGTCTCATCCCATCCACACGGAAGCTGTAGCGGGGATTGTAGGGAGGGCAGACATCGGAGCCTGCCTCTTCTTTCTCCTTTCCCTGATGTGTTACGTGAAGCACTGCTCTACCAGAGGTTCCTCAACAAGTACTTGGGGCTGGATCTTGGGAGCAGGGCTGTGCGCAGGATGCAGCATGCTGTGGAAGGAGCAAGGAGTGACTGTTCTGGCCATTTCAGCTGTGTACGATGTCTTTGTATTTCATCGACTGAAAATGCATCAGATCATTTCTGCTTTATGCAAGGTGAGTGGTCTTTGCTGTAAGCTATTTGTAAGGCACCAATCACTGTTAAACAGGTGCTAAATGAGTTTTCAAGTCCTAAAAATGAGCACAGATGTCTAATGCTTAAAGAACAGTTAAATAGCTTTAGTATTGGGTTTTTACATTTTGTTTAAACAATGTATTATTAGCCATTGCTATTACTTGACACTGGGGATGGGTTTCTTTTCAATTACTTTCCTTACTTCCAGCAGTTCCCTCATTCTGTTTACCAACAAGCACTGAATATCTGAGTTGAGCACTGAATATCTGACTGCCTTTTGTAAAGAATTCATTCATGCTCTTATCCTCTTGTATCTTGCAAACTCAGCTTAGTTTGGTCAGGCGTACAAGTGTGGTGGCTGATATCCCCCTCAGGCTCCCTAAGGCAAAAATAAAGCTCTTATTGTTCTAGTTTAACAGAGATGCATAGGGCCTGGGCCCGTTTCTTTGGCTCGTATTGTTTTCTTCCCCTAGTAGGAGCTATGACTTAAATGTAACAGTGCCTTAACAAAATAACTATTTCTCATTTTTAAACTTCTTATCCAAGAACAAGCAAGTAAAATAAGCAAACAAAAAAGCTCACTAAAACCCCCTGGCTTCCCTCTCCCCAGACTGCATGTATTTTAGTGGTACTCAGAAACTCCATCTGAAATCAAGACTCGGTTACATCATTTACTGTACAAATGAGTGAGCTGAGTATATGTAATTTTCTTTTCAGTGAAATGGCGTTCTTTCAGAAAAATACTGACTTAACAAAAAAAAAATGTTTCATATGGCCATGTTACATTTTTTCAGTGAGACATAAACAAAAAAAGCAATAAAACAAATTACAGCTTTGCAATCTATCTCAAAAACCTTGATGTTAAAATTTTGATTTCTCATGCAAATGAATTGAAAAGAAATTTTAGATTTTGATAAAACAATGATGAGTTCTGTTCATATAGACTATACAGCTGTGGTATAAAATGAAAATAGTAGAGTAAAAAAGAATCCCATCTCTGGTCACTGGTAGTTTCCTCTTAAACTGCTGTGACATGTTGACCTAGTTATCATACTCTTTTCTGACAAAATTGAAACTGAAAGAATAATTTCCTGTATATTTATATAGATGTATATTTTTTTTAAATTATGCATATTGGAGTAGGTAAGACTTGTTGAATGTCAGTAGCTAAATACTGTATGGTACATAGTGCACTTAATGATGAACAGAAACAAACAGTAGATTAATTAAGGTTTTTTAGTTTTGTTTTGTTTTGTTTTTTCCTAAAGTGCATCTGTAACAGCAAACTTTATACTGAAAGGCACAGGATGAGTTCATGGAGTTTAATTAATAACTTAAGTGTTAGCTTATTCTATAAAAACATGCATATGACACAGAAAATCTGAACACCTAGAAAGTTTTGTATTATTGAACAGTCATTGCTCAAAACCAAAACCTTTGCAGACATTTCTGTTGAACTTTTCATGGGGAAAAGGTTTTTCTCCCCTTTTTGCTCCTTTTCTGCTTCAGGGCCAGGGTAAAATTGGCCCAGGAGAGACCTAAGTGACACAAGTGAAATCCAAGCTTCCACTACCTAACTTTTTGAACATAAGTCCTCTCTTCCTAGGTGAGGAGCTCTAAACTTGGACACCCAACTTGTGAGTTTTTTTTCCATCCAGCATCAGAGTTGCCTTGGACAGCAAATTGGTGTCTATGGAAATTTGTTTGTCCATCTGTAATGATAGGAATAACAATTCTGTGCTTTGTAGATTACAAACCTATTTGGGGATTGGATTTTAGCTGGAGGCAATTTAATGGGGAGAGACTACAGTGAACAAAAATATGAATGTTTTGCTTGATCTGCCAGAAATGCATTTCCTAATTCACTAAGTTACTAGGGTACCTGTTTCTTGCATGTCTGTTCAGACTGAGTGCTGCTGCCCCGAGTTTTATCTCAATACCAGGGAAGCCTCTGTTTGTTACATTACTGAGGAGATCAGCTGGGAGCTTCAGTTACAAAGTATCTCCAGTAAGGCTTCTTTTTTACTGAAGTTTTACAGAAATCATTCGCAAATTGTATAGATTTTTGTAAGAACACAGTGACCTGCAGGGCTTGGGTTGTCAGGAATGTCTTCATTGACCTAGCCTGTTACGAGAAGCATTTCTTTTTGAGTACTTGTCTGCATACTCTTTTGTACTTGAACTTTGCATGACCTCTACCTTTAACGTCACAGTTTCCTGTTCCCAAGCACTCCCTGGGCAATAAAGGAGCCTTTTGTAAAGATAATGATTGTCAATTAAAAAATAAATAAGACAGGTGTATCAAAGAGGAACAAAGGTAGCACCTCAAAAGCAAATTAAAGCAAATGTATCAGTCTTCTGGAGAGCTTCTCATGGTATGATAAAAATGCTTAAGGGCAACAAAACCCTTACGATTTACCTAAAAAAGATAGTGAAAATAATTATTCTAGTGCATTGCCTCCTTATCGATCATTATTTTCTGAAGCACTTTCTTACTGTATTTATATTTCCTTTGGACTTTGAGTTTCATCTTTTCGCATAAAATACTGTTTAGAGAATGTTCAAGTTAGCAGGTCTCTGGCCTGCTCCATCCGAAGTCTAAAATTGCTTTTGGAGGATGCTATTTAGTTGATATCTGGATAGTTTGAGAATGATCAATGCACTTGGAGTTGAGAAATTTGGATTTTGATTGTAGCATGTCTGACCAATATGTGACAAATCCTGACTATGAAGGCAGGTTTAGATGCTGTCCTTTTGATTTGCAATTACATTTAAATTTATTTTCAAATGAATTGAGGATGATTGCTCTGTAAGATGGACAATTTAAAGTGATAACCTGTCTCTTTTGAAATTGTTAGTAAGAACAGAACTAAGTTTTTTACTTAAAGCTTTTGGTTTAGTTTTGTTCTGTCTTTATATATGTTGATAAAGACAAGTGGGTTTTTTTGTTGGTTTTGTTTTTTTAAATTTTGTATTTAAAATAATCAAAACCCGAAGTATATAGCTGAGATTAATTTTTGCATTATGCAGAATTAAAGCATAGACTTGAATTAAGGGTTGTTTTTTCTTTTTTTTTTTTAAAGTATTGCATGCACTTTTTCTTGCTTGAAAAGACATTCTGCACTGCTGATTGATAAGGCCAAAATAACCATTTACAGAAGAGTCATCCGGTGTTCCCTAACTGGCTTGAGCATTTAAAAAAACTGGAGTACGGTTTTAAACTGAACCAAAAACCTCCCACCAAACAAAGCCCCTTTTCCTCAGAGAATGTCTGGGCAATTAGAAAGAATTGTGTTTATGTACCGGTTCTGGAATTTGTACTTTGTGTTCTCCCAATTCAATACTGGAAAAGAGCAACTTCATGAGAAAGGGGAAAAAAAAAAAGACATCAAAAAGGTCAGTCGAGGAAAAAGTTATGGTCTTTTTTAGTGCATTGGAGGAGAAAAGTGTAAAATGGAGCCAAGGAAGAAAGGAAAATAATTTTAAGTTCATTAGCTCAAATCTGTACTATCTAAGTAAGCAGTAATGGTATGAAACTGAATGCTTTGTAATTGAATAGTGGAAAGGGTTCAATCTTTCAATCTATCTTAAGCCCAACCCTGTCCAGCTGAGCTGGTGCATCTGTTTCCTAGGCTGTGCTGCAAACTGAACTCAGAGGAAATGCAGGTAGAAACATAGCCTTTAAACACCCCCCCCCCCGCCTTGCCCAAAATATCCCAAATATATATCTTTAGGAGTTATTTTAAACCTGAATCAATTAAGTTATATCCAGTTCTCATCATTGCCGTACAAATAGCTGTACTGGCAAACACTGAAAGGAAAGGTGAAGGAACAGAAAGAAGGAATGGAGAGAGAGGCATTTCGGGGAGTGGGTGGTTAAGGACCTGGACTGGCATGCTGCCAGACTATGACTTTCAGTTTCTATAAGCTTTTTCAGAATATACCACTGGGGAAACTGAGACATGAGTATTTATGTTTAAAGAATAGTAAAACATTTGGCTGTCTTCAGGATGGTCAATGAAGTATGAACTGGTAAAAGCAACTTCAAAAATGCTCCAGCTGATGGTAGGAGATGGTATTGGGGTGACAAGCCCATTTTTTTTCATTGTGTTCTCATCTTTGGGCCAAGTATCCAGTGAATATAAAGTGATGGCTACTACACAAGACCAATTATCATGTGAGTCCTGATTTTTCGCACCAGGTACATGACAGCATCCCAAGGCAATTTGAGTAGACTGGCAGGGCTTCTGAACAAGGCGGCTGCAAAGCAGGACCACCAGCAGAGCAGATGAATGTTGCCCCTTATTTAGAAGCTATTGTTGAAGCACCTTAAAATTGTATATCATAGCTACTTATTTAACTATCCAGCTCTTTTCTCTGTCATCTGTGTATTGGTTATTCAGTAGAACTTTGATGCTGATTTTTTTCCTTTTGCCAAGTTTTGTATTCCTATCTGCCTGTGATGCTCTCACTCTGGCTGGAAAAGTTGTCAGTCTGGATTCCATTTCATTTGGTTAGCTCTATTTTATTCTGACTAGCTGACAAGAACGTATTTGCTGTCTTTAAGACAGAAGATTTTGATGAAATTGTATTTATTGTGGTCATAAATTAGTTGTCTGAAATGAGAGCTATTAAAAAAGTGGTGTTCTACTGAGGCAAAGCATTCCTTATGAAAGAAAGTTAGACTTCTGTTTGATTTTTCAGCATTTTAGACCTTGAGTAATTTTCAGTGTAAATTGCATAGCAGGTATACAGATTGATTGAGATGTCAGGTATGACACGTATCAGATGATTGTACCTGTCAGCTGCTAGATTTGTGCAAGTTAAGCCACCAAAGGTGAAGGAGTGGAAGGGGGGACTTGAATATGGGAGAGAGCTTGTTATGCTAGAAAGTATGCAAATTCAGAGGTCTAATTGCTTTGTATTTGCAATATGCAGCTTGAGAGCAGAAGCATTAATCAACAGTCTTCTGTCCAATTAA